GGGCCAACACTCTAACCACTCAGCAACAACAGCCAAGGCTGCTATGCCATGCTTTTTCACCAGCTCTATCACGGTATAATTTACACAGCATAAAATCCTCGTTTGTGTTATATAATCTTGAATGCTACCTCCAATTCTTGTGAAATGTGGGTTGAATATAGTCGTATGTGCTAAACTATGCTGAAGATCTTTAGTGACCAACATCTAGGGGCTTGTTTGTTTTTTAACTGCTTCCTCCACTCAAATATACTCATTCATTCATTCAACACATATTCACTGAGTGCCTACTATGTGCTGGATGTTGGGGAGATAAGAGTGAACGATTCAAACAAAATAGCTGCCCTCATGGAGGTTCATTCCAGGAAGGAAATAAAACAGGTTAGTAGAGGGCCAGGTGTGGCAAGTACCGCGAAGAAGAACACAGCAGAGGGAGAGCATAGGGAGCGGCAGAGGGCTGCAGCTTCAGAAAAGGTGGTCGAGGGGACCTCTTTCAGGAGGGCGCAGGGGGCAGACTGCAGGCATGTCATGTGGGGGGGGGGGCGGGTCCTGTCGGCCGGAGAGCGGGCTGAGGCTGGGCAGGCAGAACTAGGCAGGGGCGCTGCGGACAGCAGGCCGGAGGTCCTGGCACCTCGCCCAGGAACGAGGGTGGGTATTTTTTAATGTAGAGCTGACCACACGTGCTGATGTAAGAGAAGAACTGAGGGTGGCTGTTGACATGGGGAAGTGGGCGGTGGGTTCGTGGTCCCTGCTTGTCTCTGCCTGACCCCCTTAGTAAGCCAGGGGACACACAGCTCCCTCAGGGCGCGTCTCCTTCGCCTGCTGAGAACCGGAAATCGGTGCTGGTGGACGAGGCTGATGATGGCACTGCGGTGGGTAACACGGCCTCCCCCGACCGTGCGTGGGTCCCAAGGGCCGGTGCCTGTGCCTGGCCTTGTGTGGACTCGGGGTCTTGGCAGGTGCAGGCAAGCTAAGACGAGCACACGCTGGATTAGGGTGGCCCAGGCCAGTGACTGGTGATTTTTTAAGAGGCCATTTGGCACGGCACGGAGACCCAGGCAAGACCACCGTGTGGAGACAGACAGACAGGAGTGACGGAGCCAGGCAAGGAGCACCCAGGTTGCTGGCCGACATGGCGCTGGAGAGGCTGGGGCAGGCTCTGCCTCTGAGCCTCTGGAAACAGCCCCCCCCCCCCCATTCCACACTTCTGGTCTCCAGAATGAGAGCAAATTCCTGTTGCTTCAGGCCACAGTTTCTGGTCTTTGCTGCGGAGCCACGGAAGCCAGTACAACCGCTGGCTATTAGCACTCCTCACTCCAGCGCTGCGCACACCTTACCCCACAAAGTCCCCTCAGCGCCACCCAAAGCTGAGTATCGTGGGCCTCCCTGCTGTACAGATGAGGAAATCAAGGTTCAGCAAGTCACATGACCTTCCAAGGTCAAGCGCTAGCACGTGGTAGAACTTGACAGGTACCAGGTCTTCTCGTCTGGAGTCCGTGCCAACCATCAGGAGCCTGGGCCGGGGCCAGGAGCCAGGATCCCTGGCTCACTCGTCATCTGCTCTGCAGCCAGACGCCCTGCGCTCCCCCCCCACCCCCCTTCGTTCTCTGCGGTCGCTGGAGGCCTGCTATCTTCACGTCTCCCCAGAAGATGCGTGGGTAGCAGGTGTGGCTTGGGTTTGATAAGAACGTCACTGCACACATCCTTTCCTCTGGTTGGAATGCCACCGGCAGAGGAAGGACAGCGAACAAACAGCCCCCCCCCCGCCCCCCGCCCCGCTGCTATTGACTGAAGCGGAAGCTCCTGACCATTAATCCAAGGCCTCTTCCACCTAAAGGAACGCATGCCGTCGGGGCCGGAGCGCCGGCTGCCTCCTGCCATTCTCCCTGCTGATGCTCAGGGCCCAGGAGAGAGGGCAGGGCTTCTCAAGCCACTTGCTGCGAGAAACCAGGGCCATGTCCGTCCTGTCGCGGGCACGCCACCGAGCCCCGCTCATCGCGACGAGCGCGTGGTGTGAGTGGGGAAAGGCCACTCTCCCTCTGCGGCTGTGAATTAGTCCACAGGGTCCCAGGTCTGAGCAGGCGGGTGGGAGGGAAAAGGAGGCCCAGCAATAACCCGCAGGCGGCAGCCTCACAGCACAGAACTGGAACCTGGGCCTCGGAGAACGAGAAGGGATGTGGTTGAGCGTGACTTAGGCCACAGGTGACACAGCAAGGGCCTTTCCTAGCAGACAAGTCACCTAACTCCCCTCTAAAGCAGGGGCAGGAGCAGTGCCCACGCTCCACATTCTCGGGGATTAAAGGAGGTGATGCACAGGGTGCGTAAGACGTGGGGAGGTTATCTTCATGGGCCCCAGGCTAGGCCCCGCCCCTCAGGTGTCTATCGCTACATTAACAAGTCACCCAGAACCCAGAGGTTTAAACCAACAGCAATCGTCTCTCATCTCTCGTAGCCCCTGGGGGTCAGGGAATTGGGGTGCTCTCTGATGGGTCTGGCTCGGGGGTCTGTCCTCTGTGGCCGGAGCTGGGACAGCTGGGGCTGACACACCTGGAAGAGCCACCTGGGCACCGGGCTCTGCATGTGGTCGCAGGGCCTCTCGCGTGGCCTCATTCTGTGGCCTCACCAGCACAGTGACCTCAGGGCTCCAGAGGCAGGCGCCCCAGAGAAACGGACAGAAGCTGTTGCCTTGGAACCCACCTGGGGCCACGTGCACTGGTCGGGTGGAGACACATGTGTTGTGTTATTATTGAGTAATATTCCTGTAGGATGGCAGCTTCTTTGAAAAAGTTGAAGGCGAATAAGAGGCATAAACTTCCAGTTATAAACTAGAGGCCTGGTGCACGACATTCAGGCACTGGGGGGGAAGGAGGGGAAGGTCCCTCAGAGCGGGCCTAAGCCACAGTCAGACATCCTTAGCGCTACTGCAGAGGCCGGAGAGGCTCCTGCCACCGCTGCTGCTCTCCCCAGCCATCAGCCTGGCTTGTGGCTGAGCGGCCCTCCCCCTGTGGGAGCTTTCTGACCACCAGGGGGCAGCTCCTGTGCTGAGCGTCTGCCCCCTAGTGATCAGTGCACGTCATAGAGACTGGTCCTTCTGCCGTTCGGTCGATTTGCATTTTACCCTTTTATTATATGGGACAGTCACAGGAATGTAGAGAAAGCACAGGGGACAGTCAGTCCTCCCTAATAACTTTGTAAGCTGACCGATGGGTACTGGACTTATGGGGGATCACATCGTCAGGCACACAGATGTGGAATCACTAGGTTGTACACCTGAAACTAAAATAGTGCTGTGTGCCAACTAGACTTTAATACAAAAAGAAAAGGAAAGCTTGATCAGAATATTAAGGAAAAAGGAAAAGTCCCTTCTCCCCGTGAATGACTGCCGAGACGTTGTTAGGAAGATAAGATAGGAGTGTTTTACTTCGGGACACCGCCTCACCCCCATAGTGAGTGAGTCAGTTTTGATGGTACCTCAGAGTCCCTCACAGCAACACATTTGGTGCTTAGACTCCAGAGGAGAGGAGGCGATGGTTAGAGTGCAGACCCCGGGCCTCGCCCAGAGCCTTCTGGATGGGAGGAGGGCTGGGAATCTGTGCTGAGCTGGGGCCCCGGGGATTCTGACACAGGCCAGAGGCACTGTCTCTTTGTAAAGAAAGGAACTTGCACCAACTGGCGTGGCTCAGTGGTAGAGCATCGACCTATGAACCAGGAGGTCACGGTTCGATTCCCAGTCAGGCAGGGGCACCTGCCCGGGTTGTGGGTTCGATCCCCAGTGTGGGGCCCCCAGTGTGGGGCGTGCAGGAGGCAGCTGATCAATGGTTCTTTCTCATCATTGATGTTTCTATCTCTTTCTCTCCCTTTCTCACTTAAATCAATAAAAATGTAAAAAAAAAAAAAAGAAAGAAAGAAAGGAACTTGCCCTGTGTTAAGGGGCTTCCTGAATTTTGTATTTTCATTAAGACTTTGAGCTACTCAAGCGATAACTTTGTCTTATAGGATCTCTAAGGAACATAAACACACTCAGACTAACTTAATTTAAATGTAAGGTTTCTAATGGGACACACCCAGCCTCCTGAGAGGCTGGGACCGGGAGCTGGGAAGCGAGGTCTCCGCTCATTCTCCACCTTCTCCTCACACGTCTGTCTCGTTCTTCTTCACCTGCCTGTGGTGAAAGGAACCACTGTCGGCAGCTCTGTGTGTTCTCTCAGGGCCCAGGACTGACTACTTGGAGTCTCCTAATTGCAAATTCTTAGGGAGAGAGTCTGATTGGCTCAGCTTAGGTCAGCCATCTACCAATCAGCTATGGCCAAGTGGGTCCACTGCCCAATCAGAAGGTTCTTCCTTAGAGGCTTCTAGGGAATGGTACCTGCTGGTCACTGCTCCCGCTGCCGCAGCCCCGACCAGTGACAATGTTGATGTGTCGTGAGCCACACCAATGACTAACCTGCCTTGGCTGGGACCAGGCTCAGGGACGGAGGCCCCAGGACAGCAGGAGAGGCGCTGGAATACCACCTCACCGTCCTGTGATCAGGTCTGAAGTCTTTCTCCCGCTCTGGAGCACAAAGTCAGAGCGTGCTGCTGCTGGTTCACTGCTGTACCCCCAGTGCTTACAGGCTCGTAATGAATATTAAGTGATAAGGGAACAAGAGCCCCATATTTAGTTTGATCAGGAATCCCCTCTTTCCACAAATATTTATCGAACATCTACTGTGTGCCAGGTACTATCCCAGCGTCTTGGGTTACACCAGGGAACAAACCAGGAAACATACCTGCCCTCATGGGGTTATATTAGCCCGTGGCTGGGTGTTGACCCATATCCCGGAGGGACCGCTACTTGCCGCTGCTCTGGAACCGTCTCTGTTGGTTGGGTTGAGCCACTGCAAGTGTGAGGTCTGTGGGTGTTTAGAGCCAGTGGGAGCCCGTGGACAAAGCCGGGGAGATGTGACCGACGAGCTCCCCCGGCGCCCGGCCTCCACCCAGCCTGCCCTGCTGTGTCTCCCCAGGTCATGCTCTCCGAGCGGAAAGGCACGGACGAGCTCTATGCCGTGAAGATCCTGAAGAAGGACGTGGTGATCCAGGACGACGACGTGGAGTGCACCATGGTGGAGAAGCGGGTGCTGGCCCTGCCGGGGAAGCCGCCCTTCCTGACCCAGCTGCACTCCTGCTTCCAGACCATGGTAACTCGTGCGGGGCCGGCGCTCCGCCTCCAGCGGTTCAGTGGGTTTGGCCAAAGCTGTCCCAGAGGCACCTGGGTGCTGCCCGTGACGACGGGGGAATGTGGGCCCAGAGAGGCTGCTGAGCACTTCTCAGGCGGCCTGAGACGCTCTCCCCGGGGGCAGGTGCTGCCTCAGCAAAGATGCAGGGACTCAGCCGATGGGTTTGAGGGGTTTTTTAACCTGCGCAGCAGGGCCTTTCACAGCAAGAGGCCACTTGGGACAGAAATGCAGGACTTTCGGCCTCACAATATGCGATGTAGCAGCAGGTGGGGATGTGGGCAGAGGTCCAGCGCCGTGCTTAGGTCGCGGTGGGCAGCCCTCCGGGCCCTTTGCCTGGGGCTCCGGTACCTTCCCCACGTGGCATGGACCTCCTTGGACGAGGGGCTGCCTGAGGACACACCCCTCAGAGGACCCTTAGGTGTGAGCTCAGAGCTGTGGCTCCCGAGAGGGGACATTTGTGCTCTAGCTGCTGTAGACTGTGACTCCAACTCTGAGAGCAAGAGACATCCCTGTAAGACCGCTTAACCTTGTCCCTGCTTAAACTCGACCTTGGCCTCCATACCTAAGGAGGGGAGGCCAGAGCCCCTACTGCAGCTATTAGTTTGAGTCCTTTAATGAAAAAGCACAAGATTCCCTCATCTAGTGCCTGCTTCCCCAGGGGTGCAGTTCACATGGGAAAGGCAGGATAATGCTTGATTCGTTCCTGTTGTTTAACAGTTTCTATGAGTTGGTTCATTATTATGCTCCAAAGGTGACTAATGTCTGCTTTTAAAATAAAATTTTCGAGTTAGGGAGTCAGTGCAAAGAAAAATACAAGTGAGCAGTAATTCATGACATCTGGGGACTTGGCAAAGATGGGGGTGAAGGCCTCAGGAATGCACGTGGGGGCTGCGACCGGACTAGACTAGACCCTCAAGCCTCTAGTCCAGCGGTTCTCAACCTGTGGGTCGAGACCCCTTTGGGGGTCGAACAACCCTTTCACAGGGGTCCCCTAAGGCCGTAAGAAAACACGTATATAATTACATATTGTTTTTGTGATTAATCACTATGCTTTAATTATGTTCAATTTGTAACAATGAAATTGGGGGTCACCACAACATGAGGAACTGTATTAAAGGGTCGCGGAATTAGGAAGGTTGAGAACCACTGCTCTAGTCCCTTCCTTCCCAGTCTTCTCTTTTTCCGTCAGTGGTCCCCAAGTCGCCTGGCGGCATCCGCAGGGGAAGGGGGCTCAGTCTGGTGAATAGACGGGACGGAGACCTTGTCTCAAGGCGGAGGCTGGGCCCGCAGGGCGGTTTTCAGTTTCAGTTGCCTGTGTTGAGACTGGGAGAAATCAGTCATCTGTGATGGATATTTGCTGAAGTTCAATGTCTTCATTTGTAATTGACTATTTTAAAAACGATACATTAACTTAGAAATTACTCCTGACTGTTGGGCGGCGTGTCAGTGTGCTTCCTGGGATGGCAGAGCAGGGCCCGGTCGCGCAGAGGCTGTGTCCTGCCTGGGGCCTCCCGGGAAGAGGTTTGGACCCAGAGAGAGCCCAGAGCGTGCGATGCAGCGGGTGCTTGTCTTGCGTGGTCGGAGCCCACGCTGGAGGCCTGGAGGCCTGGAGGCCTGGAGGCCGGGGCAGTGTCCAGATCCCGCCGGCGTGGAGGGAGCATGGGTCCTGCCCTCATCCCATTGCACCGGTGAGGGGGCTGAGGCCGCACAGCTGGTGCTTCAGGGCCAGGATTGAACCCAGGCAGCCAGGCTCCGAGGGGCTTTGCATTAACTCTGCTTTTGCGTGTGAATCACAATGTCCACTCCCCTGACACCCTGGGGTGGGACGCAGCACCGCCTGTGCCCGCTCTGTGGGGCCTGTGCCCTCAGGAGCCCTGCCCCTCTCCCACCTGTGCAGACGCGCCTGGTGCTCCATCCCTCAGAGAGGAACTGGCTTCCCGTCGGAGGGTACCATTCAAGCACTTGGTTTCTTCCTGGGCTCCCCAAAGGTATTGCGACAGAGGGGACTGTCGCCCCACGTTGCAGGGAAGGATTGACGACCTGGGGTGCTGGGTAGTCCTCCCTAAACACAGCACCGGGCACACGCCCGCTGGACGCGCCTGAGCTTTGCCAGTCCAGTGTGTTGAGCTGCCACCAGAATGGCCTTCATAGTGGTGACCACAAGGACAAGAGCAGAGCTGGCCCTGCGAGTGCCAGGCCACCGGGGTCCCCACGGTGCCCTTGGCACTTCTGGGGGGCTGCTCCTGTCCCGGGTAGGCAAGGACACTGGTGTGCAGAGGCGCCCGGGACTCCTGCCGCGCACACGGCAGCGTGGCCCTGGGGCGGGTTCCCAAGCCTGGCGGGCCCCCCCTCAGGCACCGGCCTCCTGCCTCTGCCTCGCTCCGGATTCTCCCTCTGGTTTAGGGATTATTTTCACTTTCCTGATCACATCTAATTTTCACAAGGGGACTGTTCCCACCCTGCACAGAGGACTCGGACCCTCGAGAGATGCGCCGGCTCAGGTCACCAGCGCTAAGCGGCAGGTCCTCGTGCCCTGCAAGTGTCACTCCCACCGTGAGGAGACCTACTTCCGCAGGGACGTGGCACCGCTGGAAAGATCGATCAGGGAGCGATTTAAAGTGCAAGGAGCATCTACACGAGCGAGCCGCACGGCGACTCCCTGCTGGGAAGGCCCGAGGAGGTCGCCTGCCTCCCGCTCACCCTCTGGACCGCACATTCTCTGCACCCCAGCCTGGTGCCCCGGAGGAGGCAGCCTGGCTGAAAGGCAGTATCTCTAGAGCCGTGTCCCTAAGAGTCAGCCCAGCGCTGCCGTGGACAGAGGGCTAATGCTTACGGATGCCGCCAGCAGTGTTACTGTTGGCATAAACGGTCCAGGACGCAGCTGTGTCACTGTGAGGGGACAGCAGGAACTAGAGAGACAAGCCTTGTCCCAACAGAGAGGCAGTAGCCACCGTGGCAGCAAAGCAGAGCGGCTGAAGAGGCGGGGTTGGGACGGGGAGGTGCTGCTTTGGGTAGGAGGACAGGGAAGGTCTTCCTGCTGAGGATGCATTTAAGCAGCGACTGAGCGAGTGAGGGAGCAGGCGTGGGAGTGTCTGGGGCCAAGTGTCCTCGACAGCAGGACACTGCGGTGGTGCCCCCGGCGGGATGCCCGCTCGGCGCAAGAGGAGCGGCCAAGGGCACTGTGGCCGAGCGGATTGTCAGTGTGTGTTTTGTGATCCAGAATTCCTTTATGAATCATCTACCTTTAAAAAATGACAGATCTGGCATAATGTTGCAAATGTGATGTTTGTCTTGCCAGAGATTTAGAATTTGAAGATAAAAGATCTTAATAGGATTTTTTAAAAAAACACACACCTTAAGGTGGTCAAAATAGATAAAAGAGAACAAAGACTCTACCAATATACAAAGCGCCTTTTGTCATTCTTAAAATGATGCAAATTTAATTCCTAAAACCTTGTGTAGAAAAGCAGAGTTACATCAGATGTATTCTTAGACAATTGGATTTGAAACCTTTGACAAATATGCACAACGCAACTTTAACAGAAAATGTAGGAGATACATTCTATTTCAGAGATGATTCTAAATGTGT